TTTACATATTTCTATACTACTTGTAATACACCTTCGGGATATGACTCACAGGAGTACACAACGTTTCAACGATATAGATTATCGCAAATTAAATGATATATCACTCCCTGAAGAGATATAACTGATGAGATAACCTTCTGTGAATTATGAAGGCTGTTTTCAAGACTGTTTATAGTCCCAAGGGCCACAACTCTATATCCCAGAGATGACGATTTTGCGTGTACATAATACTTCATAGTCCAGCTCGTTTGTCAAATCACAGACTAATCCGTAACAGTAATTTGCGATTTTGTTTTTCAACGACATAGACATAGGGATAAGGTGTTTGTTCAGAAAAAAGTAAACTTCAATTTCAAAATGTCCTGAATTTTGTTTTATGCTCAGATTTGTAAATTTTTGTTAACTTTGTAAAAATCATTTTTGTTTTTCCCAATAAGGTTAAGGGATAGGAACGCCATTTGTGCGGGTTGATTGGAGTCTTGAATATAATTTACATTTAATGTAGATAGTCTTCAGAAGTTGAAACCGGGATGAAAACCCAGAAACATCTGCCTCTTTTTCAGCCGCTGATAACTAGTAATAGAAAATAGTCGGTTTTGAAGATGGACAATGGAAGATGGTGAAACGTTCTTAAAGTTGCTAAAGCCACACTTCATTCATAATACTTTTCCATATTTGGTCAAAAGATTTTCGAGGGGGGGGGGGGACTCGGGAGAAATATTGGTGAAACGTCATGTTCTTAAAGCTTGTTAACCCACACTTTATTCATAGTACTCTTCCATATTTGGTCATCTTTCTCAAAATATCGAGATTTTCTAAAACTTAGGAATCTGCCTTAAGAGCGCCAGTATATGTTTTGACAGAAATTTTATCAAGTATTGAAACCCGACAATGACAAAAACAGGAGTTTAAAAAGATATTTATTTTTTTTAATGAAATGAAATGGAGTTTTACGTCCTACTCTTCTGCACCTTGTGGGCTAATGAAGACAGGTTTATTTTTTTATATGAAAAGGAAAATATATGTTTTTTATTTCTTTGTCTGGTTATTCACAAATATAATACCCGTAAGGAAAGGACCCATTTTTATCAACCATCAAAGACACTCTTCTAATTGAAAGAAGGGTTTTGGTGCTCGATGTTATTGATCACAAAAAGAATTCTTACATGTGTGTATTTAAACTGTCGGAGGTGTCGTTTTATCTACTCACATACCATCGCAATCGAAAAATAGAAAATAAAAAGGGGACGACCCACATGTACCTTTCCAAATAAGCAAATGACGTCTAAGGGCCATCTTGGATTATTCATTCAGACGTGAACTTCGTTCAATAACTATCCTGGATCATTCAAGATGATACAATCCATGAGGTATTCATGAAATGAGACTAATAACCATCAGGGATCATTCAAGCTTGACAAACAGAATGATAAAGCCAGATTTCCGCGGAAAGAGTCGGAGATTTTTGCCCTGCGCACAACGACACAGAGTCCACATATATTCCATAGTCCAAAACTAGCCTTGTCCCTAATCGTTCCTCGAACGTGATATACGAATGGAACATCAGCGCTTTTATCTCATCCGCATATCACGTCTGACAGATTTCGTGGTCAGAATCCAATCATAATAGAAGTCTAACCAATCAATCAACGAGCAAATATATCTCAACATAAAAACACAGACTCAGACAGAATGAGAAAAGCAAATAGAAAAATCCAACTCGCCTTGGGTAAAGCATTCCAGAGAAGGCTAGCGTGATTGCAGCCTACACGCTCCTCTGTATTGGTCCTCGGTAATTCAATGTAGGTAGAAGGATGAATAATAGATAACTCCCTTTACCTAGCATTGATTCAATAAGTTAGACCAACCAGTACACGTATAAATAATATAATATAAAATACCCAATCGGTGTGGTATATTTGCCATGTCAGCTTCAAGAATTTAAAGGGATTGTAAAGAGATTTTCTACAACAACAACAAAATTTAAGCGACACTGATAGCATCTTTTTGCACCATCCCAATTTTCGATCAGACGTCTGTGGCTCATGCAATTCCACTAAAGCTAAGCATTTTATGACGTCACTATCACAAACACCCTAATAAAAATAGAATTGCAAGAACCACAGATGTCTGACTGAATATTGGAAAGTAATAAAATCATGTTTATGATAATGAGAAATTAGAGCATGCGGTATAAATTAAGAAAAAAAGAAAGATTCGAAGCTAGTCACGTAACTTATTGTATAAAAGATATACTTGTCAGGATTAATCATTCAAAACGGTTGTTTAAAAACACTTGGTTTTATATAATGGTATTTTGTTATTTGCAACATACCCAAACCATATTTTCAATATCCCATTATATTCATTCGAATTGATTTTGAAGAAACCGACGAAACGAGAATCTCGATTATCTTGTCGTGGAAGCGCGGGCATACGGTAAATAAATAAAGTGCTAACGATCCTAACTGCAAAACGAAACCCGAAATCCAAATCAACATTTTGACGAAACATTGGTACCAGCTAATGAACTTTTCACACGAGGAAGTATATCAACCAGTGAGTAAGTGTTTCATAATGAAAAGTGGTATCAGGTCTCTAGAAGTGTAAGCCTACCCTGCCTGGCGCTACATATAACAAAGAATATCAATCATAAGTGAGTAAGTGTTTCATAATGAAAAGTGGAATCAGGTGTCTAGAAGTGTAAGCATACCCTGTCTGGCGCTACATATAACAAAGTATATCAATCATAAGTGAGTAAGTATTTCATAATAAAAAGTGGTATCAGGTGTCTATTGTACTCCAAATGCGCCTCGTCGACAAAATTCATTATTCCTAAGAACTACACGCCACTGATTAGTTAATACTACAACTGTAATAATATTAACTAATCTCAGTTCTCGCGTCTAAGAGTACATTGTTTCTAGAAACAAGCCGAGGTTCTGGTCCTTTAGTGCAGTCGGATGGCTGAAATTTATTACCATCTCATGTTCTTTTCATATTTACGACATCATTACAGGGAAATAATCACCTTATAATTAACATTATAGTCTGTGTTTTAATTAACAATGATGGCGGGGGGCAACTTGTAGCCTATTTTGTTTTTTTTTTTTAATTTAAAATGATGATACAGTATTTTCTGTTCCAACTGCAATAG